GGGAATCTGCTTTTGGGGCTCCCAGAGACTCCAAAACCCCCCTTAATTAAGGAATATACCTTAAACGATAATAGGAACCCTAATATGATTTAAGGTATATTCCTTAATTAAGGGGTTTTGCAGTCTCTGGGCCGCTTTTGGGGCTGTTTGGGATATCCCCATGCACAAATCGAGTGCACCGGGGCTTCGGGGTTTGGAATTTAGGGATTAGGGATCTGCATGGTCCGGCAGGCTTCCCAGAAAAACTGAACCCTAAACCCTAACAAGTGCAGCCCTACGTGTCGGAGTCAGTAGTCGGTTTAGGGTCTCGGGTGTAGGGCTTTTTCAAGGCCCAGTGCGCCAGGCGGAAGCACCTCGAACGGGGTGGCCCCTTCATCTAGCGGCAAGCTTGCACGACTTCCTTCAGGATTCGGGCCAAGTTTGTGTGTGCTAAGCCAAAGATCCTACAATCCTAAGGGGCCGTAGCGCCCCCCAGAACCCTAAACCCTAAACCCTAAACCCTAAACCCTAAACCCTGGGATGTTGCCCCTGTAAGCCCTGAATCCAGCCATGAGGTTGCTCTAGGTAGGGTTGAGGGTCGTGCGCGAGCCCGCTAGGTCCAGGTGATCACAGCACCCAGCTTTGAAAACACAGCCGAACTCTGTAGCGCACTTCCCCGATCCACTTCGGCACAAGATTCAGAAACCCTAAACTCTAAACTCTAAACAACACCCCCCCCCTCCCCCACTCCCGCCACCTCGAAGAAAAGGAACCGCCTAAACCCCAAAATCCCTTCACGCGGCATCCACAAACAACCTCCCAGCCAACCCGAGGCGTGTAGGGTTTGTAGAAATTGTTTTGGGTTTGGGTCCCCCTATCGTTTGGACCAAAACATCTTGACCAAAACTGTGTGTTTTAGAACCTGGCGGGTGAGCTTAAAGAATATACGACTGTGCTGTTTCGGCAGGGGGGGGGGTGGCTGCGCCCCCCGAGGGAGGGGAGGGGAGTTTCTCTGTTGAAGCCTAGATCTATCGCCTCCAGAGCCTGTTGGAGGCATTTGGGAGTCTGTGGCCCTAAACCTAAACCCTCAATACCTGTATAAGTAGAACTTGTCTAGCTTCTCCAAGCACGGTCCAGTCCAAACAGAAGCCAATATCAGAGTTGTTTGGCCATCTTTGTCCTGGCCAGCACATAGGGATTTCGCGAGTTTCGGACCTTTTTGAGCCTTCGCAAATCCCCAATCTCAATCGGGCCTGCACACACCCCCAACCTAGGGCCAAAACGTGGCAAATGGCGCGAATTTCTGTGATTTTGACCATTTCGTAACTTTGAAAATTCATGATGACCGGCATCCCAGAACCTGCTGGGGTATCCCGGGGCTTTCGAGCCTCACGAAACCCTAAACCCTAAACCCTAAGCCCTAAGCCCTAAACCCTAAACCCTAAACCCTAAACCCCTGTTGGGGTTTGGGGTCTGTTGGTTGGGGCCTCCCCGGGGCCTCCCAACTTTGGGAGGCGGAGCTTTGGGCAGCTCCAGCTTGTTTAGACAAAAGGGTTAGGGTTTAGGGTTTAGGGTTTAGGGTTTAGGGTTTAGGGTTTAGGGTTTAGGGTTTAGGGTTTAGGGTTTTCGGTTTAGGGTTTCGGGAAGCTTTGTGCAAACATCAAAATGATAGGGTGTGGTAGGCTGTGAGAAACACAGGCTCGAATAAATCGACCGCTTTGGCCCTCCGAGAGGTTCACGTCAGTTTGCTTTAGATCGGTTTTGGGAGCTTTTTTCCGAGTGCAGCGCCAGCTTGGTCTAGACAAGCAACTTGTAAATTCCGAATGGTATGACATATGATTTCTATTTATTTGTCTTGCGGGTTTAGGCTTGAGGGATTGAGGTTCAGGGTTGAGGAGATTCACGTCATTGGTAGTTATCGCTGGACATAGAGGTAGACTCGCTGTTGCCTTTACTTGTCATAGCCTTGCTTGGAGATACGTGTAGTCCTGTTGGTAGCTGAACATGAAACCTTCAAGCACGGCTCAGGGGCGGGGATTTAATTCCGGGTTTGGGGTTTAGGACGCCAAACCCTAAACCCTGCCTGAAGACTCCACCTGGAAATATTCGGTGATTCCGACAAGGAAAAACTCTAGCAGACACCACAAACAAGTACATTAGAGTCTGCACCAACAAGAGAACACACACACACAAAACCCGGAACAGATCACTTCGGGAGTCCTCATTGGATGTTTAGCGTTTAAGATTTAAGTTTACGCTTCAAGGTCTAGAGAAAGGGACGGCCGAGCGAACAAGTGAACCCGCGTTGTCTTCTAAGCGAACGAAACGACATTGAATGTGGTTACCCTGCAGTTTCGGTTGGCTCACGAATGAGTCTCCAAGCCTAACAGTCATGAGAAGCACGATGTACTTAAGCCCTTTTGCTTGTCAACATCTCATTCTGAAAAGAGAAGGGTTATGTGCCCAAGCAGGCCGGTGAAAGGATTCTTTCAGGGCTTGCGGGGCTCTCGAAGTCAGCAACCCAGGAAGCCGTTTGTGGCGTAATGGGCTTTGTGAAACAACAGGGGAACCCAGCTAACCGTAAACCCTAAACCCTAAACCCTAAACCTAAACCCTAACCCTAGACCCTGAATCGTTTTCCAAAGAAGGCACTGCCGGGATCCTAGCTCGGCTTTAAGTGTGGTTTCTGGCTTAGGATTCAGGGGCTTGGGGCCGTAATCCCAGAACCCAAACCCTAAACCCTAAAAGCCCTAAAAACCCTAAAAACCCTAAACCCCAAACCCTAAGCCTTCAGAGCGGACTGGGAGGTGCGCCTATAGCAATCACCGCTCGCGTCCGCAACTCGGAAGATGGGGGGGCGACCGTAATGCCAGGCCCCTGAATTCTTAACCCTCAACCCTAAACCCTGAACCTAAACCCTAAACCCTAAACCCTAAACCCTAAACCCTAAACCCTAAACCCTAAACCCTAAACCCTAAACCCTAAACCCTAAACCCTAAACCCTAAACCCTAAACCCCAAACCCCCGGCTTAGGGTTCGCGCTTCCAGGACTTTGGGGCGCTCTCTGGAGCGCTTTGGGTTGAGAGTTTCGGGGGTTTAGGGTTTAGGGTTTAGGGTTTAGGGTTTAGGGTTTAGGGTTTAGGGTTTAGAGTTTAGGGTTTAGGGTTTAGAGTTGAGGGTTTGTGAAGACCCATAGGCTTGTCAGGAGGTTTTAGGTTTGGGGGGGTTTAGGGTTTAGGGTTTAGGGTTTAGGGTTTAGGGTTTAGGGTTTAGGGTTTAGGGGTTCAGGGTCGGGGGTTCTATCAGGTTTAGGGCTTTTAGGGGCTTCGGGTTTACGGTTTAGGGTCGGGGGTTCTATCAGGTTTAGGGTTTTCAGGGTTAGGTCTTCGGGCTTCCAGGGTTCAGCGATAAGGTTTAGGGGGTTTAGGGCTTTTTCGGGGTTTAGGTTGTAGGGTTTGCAAGGGTAGTGTTCTTGGGTTTACAAGGTTCAGTCAGGATGCTTCGGGCATCGATGTGGGTTGCGGGTTCGGGTTCACGGCTTCGGTCTCCGGGTTTCAGGGTTTAGGGTTCAGGGTTGAGGCTTTAAGGTTCAGGGTTGCGGGTTCAGGGTTTCAAACGCCGTAAAGTGTTGGGCCAGGGGCACCATCACGGTCGCAATGACCTTGCCAACATCCATCTGCAAGCTGGACCACCCCCCCAACCCCGGCCCCTCTAAACGCTAAGCCTCAGAACCCCTCAGCCCAAACCCTAAACCCTAAACCCTAAGCCCTAAACCTATGATATCCTAGAACCCTAAGGCCCTGCGAGTCCAGCCATGGGGCTGCAGGTCACAAAGCCAACCTTAACAAAAAGAAACACTCCAGCAGGCAAAAGCCAGACACACGTCGGAATCTTCGGTGGGCCTTCGGGGTTTAGGGTTTAGGGTTAGAGGCTCTTCGCCTTGCGGGACTTCGGCTCCCTGAGGTTTGATTCGCTCGGGTGTCGCGCTAAACTGCCAGGCTGGCACACTCACCCTAAACCCTAAACCCTAAACCCTAAACCCTAAACCCTAAACCAGCCCTGGATCCTAACCCATTGTAGATCTAAGCCCTAAACAGCCTGAGGGGCGTTTAGGGTTCAGGGGCTCTTTGGGATTAGGATCCCGGTCTAGAGTTTAGGGGTAGGCGGTCTAGAGTTTAGGGGAAGGGGTTTTAGGGTTTGGGGTCTCGGGTTTAGGGTAGCTTAGGGTCTAGGGTCTAGAGTTTAGGATTGCTTGGCGTATGTCAGGTACAGGGCTCGGATCATGTCTAGCTCATGACCTCAGTTGGCTCCGGCTGCCTGTGCATCGGTCACGTTGTACCTGGACAGGCTCCAAGCAAAGGGTTTAGGGTTTAGGGTTTAGGCGGTTTAGGGTCAAAGCCCAACCTCCGAACCTGAACTCTAAACACTAAACTCTAAGGGCAAAGGGGTTTAGGGTTTAGGGATTAGGGCAAACTGTAGCCCTCTAGTAGGTTAGGCATGGACAAGAATTCCAAAGCATAATCCTCTTAAATCCTCAGCAAATGGGGGAAATATGGCATATTCCAAGGGGGCTTACCAGTCTATCAACCAAAGTAAACGGAACCCTAAACCCTAAAACCCTAAAACCCTAAACCCTAAACCCTAAACCCTAAACCCTAAACCCTACCTACAAAACTCGGAGGGAACTACAAGTCTTCGCCTCGGGCTCCTGCCCCAGATCCTCAACAAGAATCGAGAGTTCCAGGCGTAGGGCTTGGAGGTCTTTTTAGGGGGTTTAGGGTTTAGGGTTTAGGGTTTAGGGCTCGAGGGGTTTTGTGGTTTCGGGTTCAAGGTTTGAGGGCCTGATGACACCAATTTGAGGTACTTCTTGGGATGTCCCGATTTGGAAGTACTTATTCCTTTCGGTATCGGATTTTTTTGACTAAGGATGCAGCTCAACAACCCAGTTTGGGGTCCAGGCATCTGGGGGTTCGGGAGGAGAGGTTTCCCGCAGACCCGGCGACTGAACCCCTGCCGGCGGCGGTCTTTTTTCCGCCCGCAAGGGGGTCTTGCCGTCGTAGGAGGTAGACGCGATCCTGCAAGGTCGCTTGAATTCGTGAGATTAATGGCACAAAGCACGAGGCTGTTACAACCCTCAACGCTTTTGGGCTCGGCAATTGCTTGTATGGAGTCACACACGGCGTTTGTTGGGTGAAGGCAGTAATGTGTGTATAGGCACAGGGGAAGCAGCACCCTTGAGCGTCCTAAACCCCGAAGGTCTCAGCGGAGGGTTGAGATGTTTCGGGGCTTGCAGGGGTGTTGGGTGCCCAAAACCCAACTTAGGGTTTAGGGTTTAGGGTTTAGGGTCTAGGGGGGCGGGGCAGGCGGGCACAGGACATATGCGTAGACGAGCTTGCCACCGGAGGCGGCCAGAGAACGGAAGCTCCAAAACCTCAAATAGCTCAAAAGATGATGCTACTACAGTACGGGAGTATAACTCTACACCATACATACATGCATGAACACGGCCCGAAGCTCAACATTCTAGCGACATGGCAGGGTTTGCGATAGGGATGGGTCACCTCTCTCTCTGAGTATATATACATACACACACACGCACTCTCTCTGTATATATATATATACACATATACATATGTGTATACATATATATATATATATATGCATATGTGTATATATACAAGTAGATGATGCACACCACCATCAGAAGTGTACATATGTGTGTGTATACATCTCTCTCTCTCTCTCTCACTTACACCCTCTCTCGCTATAGATATAGATGTATGCATGCAGCATCACACAACACTAAAACCCTAAAACGCTGAATCGCTCGCTCCTCCATCATCGGCCACTGAGGAAGGCTGAACACGCGCACCTTCTGCCACTCCGCCTGAAGGTTTGGACTCGTCCCCCAACACCTACGTTTAGGGTTTAGGGTATAGGGCTTAGCCTAAAACCCCGAAAGCAAAAAAACCCAAACTCCTGAAAACCCCTAAAGCCCGCCCACTGAGCTTTGGGGAAGGAAGGCGTCTTGGGTACGTGCAAGCCGAAGCAAGCCTTGCCCTTGGAGGTCACACTTGATCGCTTGAGGTTTAGCTGGGAACACAAAAAAGAACAATGAATCACAAGCTTTGCTGCTTGTTGTTGGTCAGAAGTTCGTACCCGTGAAGAAGCTTAAGCTGAGAAAGCCTTGGTTTCTTCTGGATCCAGGTTCGTGATTCCCTTGGGCAGAACTTGTGTCGAAGGCTTGCGTGGCTCTCGTTACAGCTGGTTACAACCTTCTTGACTCAAAGCTCACAACTACCCATGAGCCCGAACCCCAAGGAAGAGTTTACGGTTTCAGGCTTTCAGGGCTTCAAGGATCGGTTTTAGGGTTTAGGGTTTAGGGGTTTTGGCTTGTAGGAAAGGTTGACGCTCCCGAGCCTACTATGACCCTTGGGAGGTCTACAATTCTGGGGTCATTCGTGGGAACCCTTAGTTAGGGGATCTACATTTTTGGATCCTCCTGGAGGTGCGGGTTTGGGCTGAAACCCTGGCACCTGAACCCCACACCCTCAACTCCATTCTGATCCGTCTGACAGCCTGAGGTGTTGGTGTTTTGGGCTCCAATGCAAACCAAATCGAACCCTAAACCCTAAACCCTAAACCCATCCCTGTCAGCTTCGGGTTAAGGGCGCATCCCCACTGCAACGCCCAAAACGACCTCCAGCAGGTCGAAGAAGCCGGATCCACCAGTGCAACCGCGCCACTCCCCTGAAACAGAGGGAGGGGGTGGGGCTTCGTAACCCTAAACCCTAAACCCTAAACCCTGAACCCAAAGGCTTTCGGGCTCAGGGTCGGCCAGGGCGCTGTCATTTCAGGGACATGTTCCTCCTCTTCAGGGTGCAGCATGGATAGTGTTCGGCTTCCGGCTCTCACAGCTTCGGGTTAAAGACGCTTTCTTGCTCACAGGCGGGAGGGAACCAGGCAGTTTAGATACTTTGTATCCACAATATAGTATAACCCATCAAGGGGCGAGTATACATTGACCCGAGCTACTAGGACATTCCCTTCGAACCACCAGGAAGCTCACCGGATGCTGGTCCTAGGCGTCCAAGATCTTGGGTCCTAGGTCGGGCCAAACGTTACACCCGAAGGCGTCCCCAAACAACTCGGAAACCGCATCCAGCCCTGAGCCCCAATCTTCAGAGTCTAGGCCCAAAGCCAAACCCCAAACCCTAAGCTGAACAAACCGAAGTAATCCCTGAACCCTGTGAACCACCCTAAAACTTGGACCCAGATCCCAACTCCGAATCAAGCCCTAAACCCTAAAACCATAGAAAAGGGGTGGTGGCAAGACATTGGCGTAGGGTTTCGGTGTTGCGGACACCTGGAACCAGCTGTACTGCGTAGATGCCGCTGCTTTTTGGCTCTTCGTGCAATGGTTACGTAGTCATACCTTAGCCCTAGACCCTAACCCGAAACCCTACTCCCTAAACCCTGATCGACCCAAAGCGCTAATCTCCAAAGACTCGAAGGCCCAAACACGGAGGTGCCTATGAACAGCAGCCAGGACCCGCGAAACCGCCGCAGCGCTGCCTTTCTCAGTCTTTGTTAGGGAAAAGGGACAAGAATGGAAGGAAGGGTTCAGGGTTTAGGGTTAACGGTCTGCGGTCTTAGGGTTTCAGGTTGAGGTTTACGCTTTGGCGGGAAGGGCTTGCAGGTTTGGGTTTAGGGTTTAGGGGCTCGGGAGTACTGTGCTAGTCCTTGTGCAGCAGAAGCTTAGCATCTTATCGGCTGCGTTCATCTAGGTTAAGCCTTGGAAGCCTTGCACCCCTCAACTCTAGACCATCCAAGAAAACCCCAAACCCCGCAAAAACATCTCTATCGATTATCTATCTATCTATCTACCTGTCTATCTATCTATCTATCTATCTGCTTAACTAAATAATTTATGTATACATATACATATAACTATGTATACATACATACATACATACATACATACATACATACATACATACATACATACATACATACATACATACATACATACATACATACATACATACACACACGAACCCGTTAAAAGGAAGGCAGGCGCTAAGCCCTTTGATGTTTGCTCAGGCGCCTCTGCAACTTCCGCCGGCGGCGGGGGCGGGAATGACAGCATCAGAATGGGACAGCCTGCCTCTTAGGGTTTAGGGTTTTAGGGTTTTTAGGGTTTTTAGGGTTTAGGACATAGGGTTCAGGGTTTTAGGGTTTTGGGGTGTTTAGGGTGAGGGCTTACGGTTTAATTAGGGTTTAGAGACCTCACGCAGCTCTCAGTGGCATATTCAACTCAAAGTTCTTGCAAGGTTTTGATTTTCGCTGTTGCCGCTAGATCCGAAAACCAAAGCCCCAAACGGCAATTGGGATTTGAGTATCGTAAGCTACAAGTTGGTTTCCGAAAATAAGTGGTACCTTGATAAAGGAATCCTACTATTTGGGGTCTATATTATATTAGGGGTCCCTCGTTTTCGTAAACCCCCATAAGCTCCCTGACGAGAGTTCGCAAAGCCAAGCAGGCACCCCTAAACCTGTCACACGCGTAGCGTCACAAGCCACCTCTGCTCGCTGCCACCACTCAGTGGCCGCCTCTGGCAGTAAGGCCTACCTAGAGCAACCGATATACCCCTAAAGTTGGGGATGCTGCTAACAGTCCTTAATGGGGATTCGAGTACCCCCCATTCTGATCCCTAGTAAGGACCGTTAACATAAGGGGGAACATCACTTAAAGTAGTAAACCTCTCAAGAATGAAGGGATCTTGCGCTTTTTGCAAGAGCTTTTCAAGGCTGCGCTGGAATGCCCTTAAGCCCATGAGCCCAGAGACTCCAAAACCCCTTAATTAAGGAATATACCTTAAATCATATTAGGGTTCCTATTATAATTTAAGGTCTATTCCTTAATTAAGGGGTTTTAGAGTCTCTGGGCGGGAGACTGCAGCTTCCCGCGCAAATCCCAAAAGCCGGTTTCACGGGTCACCTGGGGTCATTGGTAGGAGTATGTACCAATCTAGCCAGACCTTCTTTAGAGTTTGGGCTTTAAGGTTTAAGGGTTTAGGGGTTCAGGGTTTAGGGTTCAGGGTTTACGGTGCTCTAAGTAACCCGTAGCGAGCCCTGGCCCTTCAAGGAGGGATTGTTAACCCTAAACCCTAAACCCTAAACCCTAAACCCTAAGCCCAAAACCCTAAACCCTAAACCCTAAACCCTAAACCCTAAACCCTAGACCCTCAGGCGGAGAGGTCTTGGAAGCGCTCCTTGGTTGTGTGCTTCCGCGAGGGCAACCCCATACCTCTTCAGGTCGTTACATGGTCCCTTGGTATAGGCCCTTAAAACGGGGTTTAGGGTTTAGGGTCCCTTGTAGACGCCTTGTAAGCCATATATAACCCAAGGCCCATACATCAGAAGCCTATAAGGAGGGTAAGGGACCACCCTTAGAATGCCCTAAACCCTAAACCCCAAACTCTAAGCCCTAAACCCTAAACCCAAAAACCCTGAAACCTAAACCCTGAGAGTTTAGGGGGTTTGCGAGGGCTCTTTGCAGGGAATGGAGTAAGCATGCCTCCAATGAGCGAACCACAAAAAGGCAGCAAGGAGCTGCAGGCATCTTGCTGATGATTGTGCTTGCGGGTTTAGGGTTTAGGGTTTAGGGTTTAGGGTTTAGGGTTTAGGGGTTTAGGGTTTAGGGTTTAGGGTTTAGGGTTTAGGGTTTAGGGTTTAGGGTTTAGGGTTTAGGGTTTAGGGTAGCATGGCAAAGCCCGTAAACCCTACTTGGAGGATCATGGGACTTCGTAAGTAGGGTTGTAAGTACCCTAGTTGGGGGGTATAAAGAATTGTACCTGTAGTTTAGGGTTTAGGGTTTAGGGTTTAGGGTTTAGGGTTTAGGGTTTAGGGTTTAGGGTTGCCCTAAGTACAGCCCTTCTTAGATCCGTTAAGAAAACGCCTTGAGCCGGCTTCCGGGTTCCTCATATGCGGATAGTGGCGGAGGGGATGGTTTGGGGCGCCTTAGAGGGAACCTTGCACCTCAAACCCTAAACCCTAAACCCTAAACCCTAAACCCTAAACTCTAAACCCTAGTCCCTGCACCCTCTCGAGCTTGCGCTGGCCTCCCCCGAGTCAAACACATCAAGGTTCTCCATCTCAGTCCAGGCCTGGTGGTCGGATTCCCCTTTAGGGTGTAGGGTTAGGGTTTAGGGTTTGGGGTTTGGGGTTTAGGGTTTAGGGTTTGGGGTTTAAGGTTGAGCGCGCCCCAAAAAATCTCAGACTTGGTGGGGGAGTGTCGGCTTGAGAGGATTTCAAAGGCTGGAAAGTCCCACGAGTTGCATCTTTTGCGGGGTAGGTTTGGGGAGCCCTATGACTCTTTAATTTACATCGGGCGGGGGCTGAAAGGATTTAGGTTTAGCAGGGCTGAAAGCTCTGCTGTTCCATCGCTTCCATGTAGCCCATACTTCAGAACCCTGTAACTGAGGTAAGGGACCATATGAAATTGCCCATATAACTACCCTTAGGTTTCGGGCATTTCTACGGCCTAACTTGGGATGCTGCCCCCTTACACTAACAGTTCTTAATAGGGGTTACAATACCCCCCCCTAATTCCTATCAAGGACTGCTAGTATAAGGGGGAACATCCCAAGTTATCCCTAAACCCTAAACCCTAAACCCTAACCCCCTCCCCTAACCCCAAACATCCCTGAGCCCTACTGGCTACACCCTCCAAACCCCCAGAGGAGGGCGATGTCAGAAAGTGGGGGAGCTTAAGAGTCTTAAAGGCGACTCGTGGTTCGGTAGGGTTTAGGGTTAGGGTTTAGGGTGTAGGGTGTAGGGTTTAGGGTTTAGGGTTTAGGTTTTAGGTTTTAGGGTTTAGGGTTTAGGGCTGCTGCAGCCGAAGAACTCCGTAGCTATGCCTTAAACCCTCCACAAGCCATCAGTCCCCCAACTCGGTCTAGACATCCCCCGTTTTGCTTTATTTTAAAACTTTTTCTTTTCTTGGGGGGCGGCGGGGTGGGGGGAGGGGGGTTGGGGGTCTTTAGGGTGTATACCTGCCTACTCAAAAGGCCAGAGTTGCAAAAACAAAGGGCCTCGGCTAATCTGGTGTAACCTGTTCTATTGCTTCAGCCCTGACAAAAACCACATAATTACCTCCCTAAACCCTAAACCCTAAAACCTTAGTCATGGAGTAGTCCTTCTTGCCGACATGTTAAGTGGCTCTCAAACTGCAGCCCCGGTTGGCCCCACAAGGGAACAAGGACCATAATTCCGAGAATTGCCCCATATGGCCCAAATCCCAAGCCCGACAAATCAAGTCCTGCTTGTACCCCCAATTAGGGTACTTGTAACCCCACTTGCCAAGTCCCATGATCCTCCACGTAACCCTAAACCCTAAACCCTAAACCCCATCAGGACCCCGGCCACAGCGTGGCCGGCTGCGCTCACCGCAGCATTCGCCGCGGCCGCACCGGCTGCGGCAGCAGCGCGGGCTGCAGAGCCTCCGAAAGGGGTGCGGGTTCAGGATTTTGGGGGGTGCGGGGCCTGGGGTAACCCTAAACCCTAAAGCCTAAACCCTAAACCCTAGGTTCAGGGATTTCGTCTCACTGACCCCCAATTTCTTGGCTCAGGGCTTACGGGATCTTCGGGCGCTGAGCCAGTGCTACGCAAGTTGTTTAAACCCTGAACCCGAGCCCAAATCCTTAAAATGCAACCCTCTCCCAACACCCGCTTCACTGTGCTGAAAGCACGGCTCGATGATAACTTCGTAGAGCTAGGCGCTTCTCGTGAAGACTTGTCGCACCTATTGTGAAGAGGTCTCAAAACTAACGACCTAGCTAGCCCTTGTCCCAAGTACTCCTTGGAGACGAAGATGCTACACCCCTAAACCCAAAACCCAAAACCCTAAACCCTAATGAACTCCATGGGCCGAGTTGGAGGACTCCGGGGGTTTATGGGGTTGAAGGGATGTAGGGCTGACTGTGAGGAGCACCTCAAGGCCACCCATCTCATGTTGGGTTGGGGGGGGAAGGGACTGAAGGATGCAGAGTCCTCAAATGCGAGCAACTGCAACTGCACCCCTCTTCGCGACCAACAGAAAGCCATGGCCTGTGCTCATACACTGGTTCAAGTAGTTCGTGTCCTGCATTGGCAGAAGATGAAATGAGGCAGTTCCGTCGCCCGTTTGCGTGCCCAAAGCTGCACTCTAACCTCTCAGACTGCAGCCTAAACCAGCCGAGAGAAGTCACCGCCTCCATGCAGTGCCTCCCAGCAAAGGTTGCATGCTTGCTTTAGGCGAGGTAGCCCAGAAACCATATGCAATATGAGGTACTCTCTCTGTTCTGCAAGGGTTTCCTTTCCTAGGCCACCCCAAAAAAAACTAAGGCATGCAAAAGTGTTCCACTGGCAGCACTCCTGAATTACTACAGTAAGAATTCGGGTCCCTTCTTGCGTCCCCTATAGAGTACGGCATCTCAGCCCCAACAATATGCCTACTCAGAACCTACTTAGAGGACGGCTCATAAGTACGGACAACATCGCGGATATAAGTAACCTGAGCTTCCAAGTACCCCTACAGCCCAACAACTCCTGGACCCCAAGCCCTACCCTAAACCCTAAACCCTCTCTTTCTTATATATATCTAAACCTTCGGCCGATTTCGGCCACGGCCGAAAAGCCACGAACACTGGTCCCCCCAGTGTTCGGCCGATTTCGGCCACGGCCGAAAAGCCACGAACACTGGTCCCCCCAGTGTTCGGCCGATTTCGGCCTGGCCGAAAAGCCACGAACACTGGTCCCCCCAGTGTTCGGCCGATTTCGGCCACGGCCGAAAAGCCACGAACACTGGTCCCCCCAGTGTTCGGCCGATTTCGGCCACGGCCGAAAAGCCACGAACAGTGTTCGGCCGATTTCGGCCTGGCCGAAAAGCCACGAACACTGGTCCCCCCAGTGTTCGGCCGATTTCGGCCTGGCCGAAAAGCCACGAACACTGGTCCCCCCAGTGTTCGGCCGATTTCGGCCTGGCCGAAAAGCCACGAACACTGGTCCCCCCAGTGTTCGGCCGATTTCGGCCCCTCCCCCCCCTCCCCCCTTCCCCCCTCCCCCCTCCCCCCCCTCCCTCCCCCCCCCCTCCCCTCCCCCCCCTCTCTCCCCCCCTCTCACCCCCCTATCCTCACCCCGTCCCCTCCCCTAATCTGACCCTATTGTTCGTCGGTGGAAGGTTCAGTGGAAAACGTGTCCGAGTTGGGTAGGTACTCTGGGGAAGATGACAACCGTTTATTTTCTTAATGTTATGGGATTCTTTGGGCGGGTGGGTTTTTTTTCTGAGCCTGGAATGAATGCTAGAACAGTGACCCTCTAGACCCTAAACCCTAAACCCTAAACCCTAAACCCTAAACCCTAAACCCTGCACAAGGCATTCGGCCCGGTCCGCCCCGCTGGTCTGCGTGGAGCCGCCGTCCACGGAATCTGCACAAAACACCTGATCACATCCTTAGGGGGTTCGGGTTTAGGATTTAGGGGGGGGAGTTTTAGGGATTAGGGTTTAGGGCCTAGGGTTTAGGGCCTAGGGTTTAGCGTTTAGGGTTTAGGGCTAGGGGTTAGGATTTAAGGGGCTTAGGGTTTAGGGGTGTAGGGTCTAGAGGTTTACTGGCTTGGGGGGAAGCAGGGGTCCCCATCTTCCCAAATCTGGAGAGTCGGCGCTTCAAGCGTGGGGGACCGTGGAGTTTCTAGTTCATGGTTGGGATCGTATTAAAACAGTGAGATTCCCATGCCTTATTGGGTTTTAAGTGCCCGAAAAAATGTAAGATGTTACCCAACTACGACCAAGGATTGGGGACGCAGAGCTCTGAGTTGCCAAGTTCCACAGAAGTGCTTCGTTTATTAGCTAGACTTGGGAGTAACCTAGGAATAAGAAGGCTGCCCTTTTTGGTTTTAAGGGGATTATAATGGAACCCCAACCCTAAAAAAGGGAAAAAAGGGCCTACTCCCGGTCCTAGTTGAAGCTCTAGGGAACTCTTGGGCTTCAAACATGCTCTGGGAGGTAGGGTACCTCAAGCCTCAAAGCCCTAAACCCCAAACCCGGAGAATCCCAAGGCTTGGTTGCACAGGTCTCGGTTTAGGGTTTAGGGTTTAGGGTTTAGGGCTTAGGGTTTAGGGTTTAGGGTTTAGGGCCCCCAAACAATCATCTCGCACAGGGCCTTAACGCCCATCTGGCGAAGAAGGACCTGACAGCTGCGATGGGCTTTAAGGGTTGAGGGTTTAGGGTACCCATGTCGCTCGGATTCGTTAGCGATCCAAAGACAATGCTTGCATCAAACTATGTGTGAAAAGGGGGCCCATGTTCTCCTGAACAGGGGAAGATGGAGATGAAGAACTGCCCTTAAACCGATGACCTTCAAATCCATTCATACTCGTGGGAAAGGAATTCATGCGGCACGAACTCAAGGCCTGCCAGTGTAGCTGAAACTCTGTGCCAAGGGAGTGGCGTAGACGGCTAGGCGTGGCAGGGGTCTGCGGATAGTTCTGCAAGCTCATGAAAGCAGCCCTTCCGAGCGTAACGATGCCCTACCCTCTCAGTTCTAAGACTCAGCCGAGCCCCGAACACGAAAGGACTTTTGTGGAGTGAGGTTTTAGGCTCTCGGGTCCGTCCCGAACACTAGACACTCACTCAGAACCCTAGCAGGCCCTTAACCCTAATTAAGGGTTCAGGGCTTACGGTTGAGGGTTTTAGTCTGGGCTGTTAAGCCCCAAACACCCAGAATCTGCTTCTCAGTCTTGCACGCTGTGGAGACCGGTCCCAGCAATCGGATCCAAGATCACCATCTTCGCTGGCTCCTTCGGGGGGGCCAACCTCCCTCAGAAAGCGCAACCCTTCGCCGCGACCCCGAGAATCCAATGTTAGATCATTCAAGATTTTATATGAATCTATGTTTTAATTCGTATACATATGGTCTAGATTCTATTCGAACAGCACGAGTTGATGTTAAAGGAATTAAACATCATATTCTGTTGATTGTATTAGCAGTAACCAGACTTCTGTGGCAAAATAGCCGTACATTTCAATTGTTCACAAGCATATTTGTGATGGGGGGGGATACTTTTGACCCTACTTGCAACCTCACCACATCATCTGAAATCCAAAGCCCCTGCGAAATACCCACATGACTGTCATGCACCCTAATGTTATCCCTAAACCCTAAACTTAAACCCTAGACCCTAGACCCTAGACCCTAAACCTAAACCCTAAACCCTAAACTTAAACCCTAGACCCTAGACCCTAGACCCTAGACCCTAAACCCTAAACCCTAAACCCTAAACTTAAACCCTAGACTCCTAAACCTGCTTGGGAGGTCTTGGCCTAGAGGGTTCTGGGCCTCAAAAGGCACAACCCCAATCCCCCCCCCCCCCCCCCCCCCCCCCCCCAAGAAAAAAAATCAGGGTTTGGGGTTTAGGGTTGTGGGTTTAGAGATTCAGGTATAGGGTGCAGGGTTGTTTAAGGCAGTAGGGGCACTGCTGGGAGTCCTGCGTCTGGTAGACCAAGGGGCTGGGGTGATGCCTTACGCCTTTAGGAGCTAAGGGCTTGAGGGTTTTGAGGGTTTTGAGGGTTTTGAGGGTTCAGGATGTGTCGGGGTCAGAGAGTTGGGGGCTTTCAGGGTATTATTTTTTTAGGGTTTAGGGGTCGGGTTGTCGGGTTAGGGCTCAGTGGGGGGGGGCCCGGTGGTCCTTTTTGTGGGCCTCCATTACAGTCGACTCCTCTTCAGACCCCTTGGGAGGATCAGTACCCTACACTCCTATAGGGTCAGTCTTAGGATCTACTTTTTGAATCCTCCCAGGGGTTTTGGGTCTACCAGAGAGGGAGCCTCATCTAAGAACCCCCCTTTTTTGGGAGGAGCGGCCCAGTGCCGGGCATCGGATGCAGTTTAGGGTTTAGGCCCTCAACCCGAAAACCCAAACCCAAAACCCTAAGCCCTAAAATGCAAGCCCTTATGTAACCTTCAGCCCGAGTGCCAAGCAGCTGCTCGCAAGCTCCCTAAAGCCCGAAACCCTGCAAATCCCCCTCCTCCTCCCCATAGTCAAAATCAGAACCCAACCCTAAACCCTAAACCCTAAACCCTAAACCCTAAACCCTGAACCCTAAACCCTAAACCCTAAACCCTAAACCCTAAACCCTAAACCCTAAACCCTAAATCCTAAATCCTAAATCCTAAACCTAAACCCTAAACCCCCAAACCCCCTAAACCCTAACCCGTGTTTGAAGGACTTGTGCAGCTCCACACCTCCACTTCCTTTCGCAGGGCCTCCACGATGTCTTTCAAAGTCGACCTCGGACTGCTGAGCAGATGGGCCAGGAGACGTAGAGTTGAAGAGCTTAAGGTTTGCTAAGTTAGGGAGTTTGGGGGTTTGGTCTTCAACAAGACTTTAGGGCTTTAGGGTAAAAACCCTAAACCCTAAACCCCCCTAAACCCTAAACCTCAAACCCTAAACCCTAAGTTTAAGGGTTTAGGCAGGGTTGCGAAAGGAGGCCTGGATGGCTCAATGTGGAGTGCTACCTTTGTTTGCCCCTGCTTCCGGCTTGCATATTGCAAACCCTAAACCCTAAACCCTAAACCCTAAACCCTAAACCCTAAACCCTCCCCGGCTCTGAACCGACCCAGCCCCCCACGAAGAGTCTCGAGGCGCCTTGGCAGCAGGCCCCAGGCGTACAGCGATGCCACGGTGTCCTCACGACCACACCGCAAGTCCCGGGCTTCAAGCCCGAAAGGCCTACATGCCCTTCTAGAAGCCACAGACCCTTGCGGTTGAGGGTTTTAGGTTTAGGGTTTAGGCTTAGGGTTTAGGGTTTGAAGCCCTTCACCCCGAAAGACCCAAGCGCGCATTTTGACACCCCGACAGCCCCAGACCAGATCTCCACACTGTATATATGTTCTAGAAGCCATATTATTGAAGCAGGGTTTATATGTCTGTTTTTGGTGAGTGTATATACGGTTCCTTTTTAATATTGGTGAGTGTATATACCGGGTGTCCTTTTGGGGATACAAGAAATATAAACCCTACTTCATAGATTTTCTTTTGCAAAGCTCCTGACATGCTTCAATATTTTTGCTTCAAAGCTGTGCTGCTTGATGCAGACACGGTCGCTGATTGGGTTCAACGCTTTGATGACACCATTGACTCTATCTCATCTATCCTTGCGAAGCTTAACCATTGATCAGCTAATTCACGTTCTCGACCACTGATGTTGTGTGCTTGCTAACCGTGCTTAGTACAAATCTAAGCTGTCTCACCTTGATATGATTCACGACCTCCGGTCCGCAGTACAAGAAATATAAACCCTACTTCATATGAGCCACATTAAAGCCCTAGAACTAGGATGGCCCTTAAAACCCCCTGAAAAATATTCCTGACCCAGTGTGATGGTGGTCTGTGTGGCCGAGAGTAGTGTCTGATGCCGTGGGTAGCGCGTCGTTTTGGAATTCCGGTGCACTGGAACTGACATAACAGAACTACACCTACAGCCCGACAGACCAAAAGCCTACACGATCCTAAGCCCTGAAAGTCCAAACCTTAACCCCGATTCCCCTAACCCCGCACTCTAAATCCCCACGTACAAACGTCTGCATGTGCGTATACATGTACATATCTACATACATACACACATACATACATACATACCTACATACATACAGACATACATACATACATACATTACATTACATTACATACGCACACAAGTGTATTAGAGTCAGGGCCCAGCCCTTCCGCCTTGAGGCGGAAGAGCTGCGCGGCGCGGGCAGCGGAAGCCTCCCAGTCTCCCTGCAGGGAAGAGTTGAACGTGGAAAGGTAAAGGGTTTAGGGTTTAGGGTTTAGGGTTCAGGGTTTAGGGTTGAGAAAGTTCATACGTAGTTTTTGGTTTAGGCTGTACGCTTGAAGTGGGCTTGGGGCTCAAGGCCCACAGAAAGGCAAAAAGTACGTCAAAAAAGACTTTTGCGGTCAAGATACCCAACTTACATCTCCAGTTCTTACCAACATGAACTTCAAGCAGGGTCTGGCGTAGTTTCCACGACTACGGAGCCTGTTTTTGGATGTTTGCACGGTCTTTCGGGTTTTCGGTTTCGTGCGGGGTTGAGGCTCTCCGCTCGGTCCTTCGTATCTTCAAATGTTCAGAACCCTACTTACTAAGTCCCTTGATCCTTTAAGTACCTGGTGTGACTATGAGTGACTGCTTTGGTAGGCTTTGCATGCACATTTGCCGCACAACCTCCTCCGGTGCAGCGTCGCCCAGGCGCCACCGCCGCTGCAAGCCCGACATAAATGCCTGGCCGAAGTCACGCTTTTTTGTTGTAAACCTGGAATCGCGATCGCACAGCTCTCGCGGGACGCTTGCCGGGTTTAGGGTTTAGAGTTTAGGGTTTACAGGGATTTTGTATCCCCAAGGCCTATGACAGAGCTTCGGGTTTTGGGGGTTTAGGATTGCAGGGTTCAGGCCACAGCGGGTCGCAAGTCTTGTTGTAGAGCTCCGGTCAGAACTCTGACGCGTGCCCTCCACTTGCTACCCCGAATGAATCCAGCGTTTTGGGCATTTCCCAAAAATCGGGGTACCCCGCTTCCCCAAAAAGAATAGAACTCCCCCGCAAAAAAGGTACCACTCTTGGTAACCCCATTTAGGGTAAAACCCTAAACCCTAAACCCTAAACCCTAAACCCTAAACCCTAAACCCTAAACCCTAAACCCTTACGGATCACAGAGGAGCGACCTCTGGCGGTGTCGCTGCCAATCCTGGCATGGCGGATGGAAGGGCGGCGACCGCGCGGCACAGAATCTGCCAGAGCTGATGCCCGGGGTTTAGGGTTTAGGGTTTAGGGTTTAGGGTTTAGGTTTGGGGTTTAGGGTTTAGGGTTTGGGGTTTAGGGTTTAGGGTTTGGGGCTGGGAGGATCTAAAAAAAGCCCCCAAACAGTGCCCTATACGGCTATGGGGTCATTCTTAGGAACCCTTAAGGGGATCTACTTGGATCCTCCCAAAAGTCTGGGTAAGGACGGGCTCGGGATATTCGAGGGGTTAAGCCCTAAAGGTTTCAGGGTTGCTGGCTAAGTTGGCCCTTGACAGGGTTTCCTAGGGTCCAGGGTTAGGGTTTAGGGTTTAGGGTTTGGGGCTTGGGGTTTAGGGTTTAGGGTTTCGGGGCTTAGGGTTGAGGGTTTTAAGCCGTCAGCCCTCTGAGAAATGTTCAACAAGGCAAAGCACAAGTCTGACCCTCCTGCCTCCCTAATCAGGAGGGTGTTTAGAGGGTGTAAGTGGCCTCAAAGAGCTCGAGCGCCGCTGGCACGAGCCTAGGCACCCGAAGAAAACTAGACCCGTTCTTTTCGAGGTGCAGGATTGCAGGTTCAGAAATACTAAACCAACGTTAACCCCAAACCCGAACCCAGGTTCTCAGCCTAAACCTTGCCGGCCCTACGCGCCTCAACCTAAACTGGTGACCGAAGGCCCGGGCCCTAAAATCTAAGCCCGAGCTCGTCGTCAGAGAGAGAGAGAGTCAGAGAGAGAGAGAGTCAGAGAGAGAGAGAGAGAGAGAGACCTGCTACACCACCACTAGATTCGGGAGTAACCTAGGAATAACGGGTACCCTAAGGGAACCCCAACTCTAAAACAAGCAAAAAAGGGCCGACTCCCGGTCCTAGACAAGAAGCCGCCGAAAGGGGCTTGAGCTTTTAGGCTCTATAGGGTTTTAGGGTTAGGGCTTAGGCTTCCTAAGTTTTGGCGTTTAGAGTCTTTGAGCCATTTCTGCTTAGCGCTTTGAAGCCTGGATGCGAGAGCCTGGAATGTAAAG